AGTAGAGGGGGCCCACTGGCCATGCTTGGAACCCTCATCTTGCATCCAGATGTAGGAGAAAGGGCTCCATGGGTAAGGCGGCCCCTGGACACCATTCCCATAATTTTTCCAAGAGATTCCAGATTGGTCCTACTTCATGAAGACTATTTCAGCCAAAAGAGACATTACATAGTACCAGTATGTACCACAAAGAAAGAAGAATGTTCCCACAATGAGAACATGCAATGCTGTTGATTATAAAAACACCCCAAATTCAGAGATGTGAAAATGTGAGAAAAACGGTTGTTTTAGAGTAGGTGAAAGTGACGCCTGGAGGAAATGAATCTCCGTCACATTGGGGTCACATTGGGAATAAGCCCACAGGAGCAGGGTCCGGAGGCTTTTCCTTCTCCTGGGGCTGCAGAGGGCCTCGGGGACCCGCCCTGAGCCTCTAATCTGCCTCTAGGAAGTTTGGGGGTATTTCTTCCTTCCCCACTCCCTTCTTCCACTATCCTCCTCACCTTAGCTTGGTTATTCTGGGCAGGGACCTGTGCCCCCATACCCACTCACACTAACCCATGGGTGCCTGCCCATCCTGTGTTTAGTTCCAGAGAACGAGGCGCCAGTAGATACCAACCTCATAGAACTTGACACAAAGTAAGCCAAACCTTGCCTGCAGATGCCTGGGGAGCAGGAGGTTTTGGGTGGTGGGTGGGGCAACAGGGTCATTTGCATATATGCTAATTAACCCCTGAGGAGCAGCTGGGCTAACCCCGTCTGCTGAGAGCCACTTCTGCTGCCTCTTGAGCAAGCCGCTTGCCTGCATGTGACTTGAAGGACCCTCCATGCCTGTTCCTCTTCCTCCTGCCTCGGTGGGGTTTGCCTTCTTCCCTCATCCTTTGCATGTCCATCAGCCTGTCCACAGCACCTGCTTGGCTCACACAGGGCTGGTTCATGGCCCTGGGCTGGGGCTCTCACGTCCCACCCACGCCCGACCAGTGACATCAGGCTATGAGGTGGGGGAGGTTCTTACTGCTTCTGACTCCTGAGGCCTGATGTGGACTTCCCTGCGGCCAAAGGCCACCGGCTCACCGGACAGTTGCCAGAGGGGGAGGACCTGGGCCAACATCAGGAACCACCTCCAGGGCAAACCAGCTTTCTCTTCCAGCTCCAAATCCGCTCTTCCCTTGTCTCCCAGGGGATATTTGGGATGTGGGATTTCAAGTCACCCCAGGAGAACACCCCACACCGCTGGCTGGATTCTGGGGGACAGAGGACTCGGGTGGGCCTAAGGGGACATGTTTCAGAGTAGAAGGGAACTCATTGTTCTTGGAAGCAGTGCCTAGTCCTGAAACCCACTCGGGCACCCCCTTCCCCCACCCACCCTTCCTCTGCCCCCCTGTTTAGATTTTCTACCCCCCAAACCCCTCCTCTCCAAGACCCCTCAGGGTAGAATGTGAGCGGGCACTTTCCTGGAGGAAGGACCTTGGCGGTTTTCTCTCCCAGTAAGTCAAGCCGCTCCTTCCTGTGCAGAAACCGAAATGCTTCCTGAGGGAGTTCTTTGGGGGGTGGGTGGGGTTCCTTGGGCCTGTTCTTGGGGAACCCAGAGTGTGCTGCAGGCCTGCTGGTGGCCTGGCCTCACAGTGGGAACGAGTGCTTCCTCTGGTCCCAGCCCAGCTACACCCGCCCCCAGCCCGTAGGCATGAAAGGCAAACGTACGCCTTCCTCTGGTGTTTCCACAACTGGCTGGAGGCCAGGTGTGACCAGGTGTGTCAGCCTGGCAGGCCGCCCCTTTGGCGGTCAGCCCACCGGCTCAGTGTCTAAATCCCATCGGCGTGCTGGCCCTCTGACCCCTCTGAGGACGCCTACTCTCGCTGCCCTGCAAACTCCTCCCCGTTTTCCTTGTCTTTCCCACCAGCGACGACGACATTGTGTTTGAGGACTTTGCCCGGCAGAGACTGAAAGGCATGAAGGACGACAAGGAGGAGGAGGAGGATGGTACTGGCTCTCCACAGCTCAACGACAGATAGACCGGGGCCGGCCCCCGCCGGGCAGCTCCAGGTCCGCCCTCCTGCACTAGGCTGCTTCCTTGTCTTCTTCCTGTTCTGGTGCCCCCTCCCCTTTGTTCTTCCAGTTTCTACCAGGGGCCCAGTGGTCTTCCAGGTTGTGGTGGTGAACCTCTGGCCTCAGGGTGGGCCCCGCATCACCACGCCAACAGGGCCGCGTGCACCACCATAACCCTGTCACTGCAGTCACCTCTCCATCCTCTTCCTGCTGACCCCCAGAAAGGCCACCATGGCTCTGGCCTTGGAATTTCACTTGGGATGGGGAGCAGGGGCGACCATAGGACACAGGACTTGGAAGGGTGGGGTTGAGGGGTCCAGATGTGTGAGGGAATGCCCACAGTCCCAGGTGGTTAACACAGTCTGGCAGCTAAAAGATGCCCATGGTGAAGGCCACGCTTTCTGGCTGGGAGGACAGACTGTGGATAGATGCTCAATGCCTTTTTGCAGTCCTGACCCACTAAACACCTCCCCCCTCCTCCCCCTGTCCCTCCGTGTCTGACAGTGACATTAGTGTAGACCCCAGGAGTGGACAAGAGCAACTGGACCAACTTCTTACCAGCAGTTAGCTAGTCTAAGGCCAGCTGTAGTCTATTTCAGTATTGTCAGGATATAACCTCTTAGCTACCCTGTATCTTATGTGTGTGTCCTACCTAGAAATATGCACATAGAGAGAGAAAAGGAGGGGTCTTCAGAAAGCACCCCCCTGCCCCTGCTCCAGGCAGAGTGAGCCGAAGCTACAGAGATTTCCTGAAGGGTGGCTCTGAGAGATGGGTGCAGGGGCGGAAAGGGGAGAATCTGTCCTGTTTCCTTGCTTTGTGGACCTGTGACTGGCGATGCCATGGGAAGCAAGCCTGGCAGTCTAGAGGGGTCCGGGGACACCGGTGTCCTCCTGTCTCCACCTTGCAGTTCTCCAGGGCTGGGCTGGGCCTGTAGGCTGGGAGGCAGCACCTATGGCTACCATACCCACAGGCAAAAGGGGTCCTTCCCCAGAGGGGGGCAGGGTCCATCGGGGTGCCCTCACCTAAAAGGGAGGGGCTGCTGCATAGTAAGGAACCTTTTGTTTCCGTGGGGAGT